GTACGTCCAGGCTCTGAGGAAGGCGAAGTCGCCGAAGCGTCAGCCATCGATCAATAACATCAAAAACAACGACAACGACAGCGAAGATCTGTACCAACCTCACGTCAGCTTAAGAAGATCAGTTTATAAGATCACATAGATAAAAAAAATACAATTTAACTTATTATTTACTTCCTACTCTTTTCTCGCAATATGCCCTGCCGTTAAAAGGAATACGCATTAAATAATAGGTTAAATTGTGATTATAACTACAGCTTCAGCTTAACTGGGTTCATTGCCGTTTTGGGCTTTCCAGATCAATTCCGCTGACGGGTGATTGCTGTTGGGAGAGATCGATAGAACTAGCTGATAGACAGGCGAAACGAAGAACCTGCATGGTGGTGTTGGTGAACGCGTCACTCCTCGGAAAGGACAACGGCGCGTTCGTTCCCTACTGTAGACACCTGTGGTCCGCAGTTTTGCAAATATCTCAGCATCACTGAAGAACTATGCAATAGTTAGAGAATGTTATTCATAGTAAAGAAATCATTCTCTGTACTGCTTCCAACATAAACTATCATAGTCGGCTACCAATGCGATGTTATCAGTAAATCAGTGATGTTGTAGCTATCATGGATCGTCTTTCACCCACATTTTAGCTTATTGTAGGTGTTACGTTGTTTTCGTGAAGCGTAGGTCCGAATAATTTTGACGAGGTGGTATCTCTTTGTCAAATCGAACTCTTAACGAAAATTACGAGGTTGGTGGATAATGGCAAGATTCCGACTGTTAAGTTAATAGATATTTTCTAAATGACTTTTTGCAGTGTGGCGCTATCCCATGCGTCCTCAGAACATTCAATATTGCTTCTCCTTCGTGTGAGCCAAAGCGTTTTTTGGTCGGTAAAAATAAGCCATAGTAGTTTCCGCACTTAAGTTTTACTCTGTTAAAGTAGATGTGAAACAGATTCCTTGGAGACGACCCAGAACTTGGTTCCATGGACTTCCTAATCACTTGATTGAAAGAGGTATTAGGTCAAATCGACGTATGTATTACAGTCGGACCATACATGCGAACACACTAACGCATGAATATAACTTTGTGAATACAGAAGGGGCAAGTAAATCGTCTGTAACCTGGGTATGTAGGTCGTCCTCTGAATTCATCTGCTATCCCAAGAGAATTACACTGTCGATTTTGATCCGTGTTTAACCTCTGCATGACACTTTAGTCCACGCAGAGTATCTTCACGACTAATCGAACAAGTCAGTAAGATACGTAAAAGATTGATGTTATACATAATAAATAAAGGATAAAGCTCTCGATCGATCTCTGAGGGATGCGCCATGCATTCGACTTCATTAAGTATCATTGGAGGTGATTGAATCCATATCTGGCGTTTACAATGACTCGCGGAGGCCTATCTAGTACCAATTTGCCGACCACGGAGCGATGGAAGGCTTGGTGGGCCATGGGCGCGGGAATCGATTCCACGTGTGTGTCGCAGTGGCGCCTCCAACCACTGCCCCACACGTGCTATACATAACAGTTACATTATCGTTTATAAGGCGCACAAAAGTTTCAGAAGTCCACGCAGAAAAGATGAGAAGTGGCACTTGGATTTTCAACACAGTTACTTTCCTATGGATTTCAGTAAGCGTGTTGATCTCTCAGTGGGTTGGTCAGGCTGCCCGACTTGACAGATCAAGAACAGTCCGCATGCCTGTCTGCATTTCAACTGGTCCGCCGCGTTTCCTACTAATGGCTTCTGTCAATGTTATGCTTTCTTATATTTCTCTATTTAATCTTCTTGATTTTATATTGCTCATACCGATTTTGTGTCATACAAAACTTTTTCCTTTATAACTCGAATTTTTGAAGGATTCTAAATGGAACCTCGTGAATCCCACATGCTTGATGAACAGTGCGAATTTCCCCGAACGGCAACGCCGGACACAGTGATTGAAGACACGACTGGTAATTTAATCCAATCAGGTCTACCCGTTGACAGGAGTTTGTAGTATGGTCAAATCTGAGTTGTTCGTTGAGCAATGGGAATGCTGAACGTTTATTTTGTTCCGTGTCATCATTAACTGGGTACTTGTTTTAGTTCTAATATTTGCACGAGCATGAATGGCATTGTGCCTTAAACGATCATTATTTTTAGGAATTCTTTTCTTTCTGGATCAAACATGGACATGTAAATTCTTGGACATATGGAGTCCGGCATGACACTTCTCCCATGCGTAGGAGAACACTGAGGGTCGTGAATTGACAGCACTTAGGTTCCCTTTCGATCGTTTATTATCTAGCCTGGAGACTTTGCTCTATTTTTTCTATTCATTCGACAGCTTGTCCAACGCAGTTTGGTGGGCGTCGGACCATAAAATTTATCCCCTGAACTTAATAACTTACAAAGGACGGTTTTTGGAGGAGTTTGTTCGTCTGATTTGAGTCATCAGCGGAGGGAGTTTGTTGGTGGTTAAAAGAGTTCGAACATGATAGCTGTAGCTAGTAAACTGAAATTCGGCACCTCGGAACATCTTGCTGCGATAAGATGATAAACCATTGAGGAGACCTTACAGGTTATTTGTTTTTAGGAGAGTTAGATGCTCATCAATTTCTTTCTACTTCTGTTCAGCAAACACGAGGTGCTATTTTATTTCTTTATTTACGTACAAGCTGACGTTTAGGCGGATTTCGCCTTCCTCAGAGCCTGGAAAGGTCAAGTTGACAGCAATCTAATAAACGGGACCTTTTCATCGCTAGAGTTGTCGTTTGAGGGCCTCCGATTTCCCCTACACCTATCCCGAGCTACAGTCTCGTAGCCATTGGAAATGGTTATTTGCCGCGCCAAGTTCCTGGACTCCTCTCTCTGTTCTCTTCTCGTGCACACGTTGGTTGCTGTTCGAAACATGTTTCCTACAAACGCTCTTTTCGTGTGAGAGGGGTGAGAAGAGAGGTAGTGCACCAAAATGTTTTTACTACTTCGCTTTCGGTACCACTTCGTAATGTACACATTTTCTGACAGGTTAATTTGAACGTTCAGGAATTGAAGCCATTTTCTTTCGGTTTCTCTGAGGTGAAATTGTTATACTCTGACTGTTTATTCAACAACTCGAAACATTTGTCCATTTCCTCTTGTGTTGAGCAAAGGACGAAACAGTCATCTATATAGCTACACTAGAGTAGCGGCCCGAGATCAATCACTGGTGCTTCCACCTTAGACATAAACGCAATGGCAAGACTTGGTGCCAGTCGTTGTCCTATTGCCAACCCTCTTATTTGAGAGTAGTACTTTCCGGACCATCTGAAGATTGAGCAGCTCAAGCATTTTTTTAAGAGCGCCATTAACTGCTCTATCTTGAAGCCATACATGTTTATTTCTCCTTCGTGTTGCATTAGGAGTTCGCATATGGCTTGTATTGCGGAGTCATTCGACGCGTTTGTATAAAGGGCGGTAACGTCGAAGGACTCCATCACGTACGTGCTGCTGAGCTGCGCAGTACGTAGACGATCCAGAAACATCTGGGTGTTCGCAAGATGGGCTGGAATGTGTTTCAACAACAGGTTGGCCCGTCTACGCAACTAATGATTGGTCTAACCCTAAATAATGATGGATTGGTAGATGCAAGATCATCGCTGGATACTAACTTCTGAGTTTTTATAAGCAATTAAAAGACGGGACATGTTGGTAAGTCAGTTTTTAGTTGAGAGATAACTGATGGTTTTAAACCAGCAGCCCTTGCCATTTTGGCCCATTCGTGGTTTAGTTTTCGGTATTTACTTTTGAATTCCTCCTCAGATGATGGGCGATAAAGTGAATCATCTTCAAAATGCTTTTTCGTTATCTCAACGTCTAACTTATGGGGAATTACGACAAACTCTCTACCCTTATCGCTAACGGATAGTCTTACGTTTTTCAACCTTATCAGCTCTTTAACCTCTCGCATACCACGTTTTTGCACTTCAGTGAGGTTTGAGCTGTATCTTTTCGCGCGATAATGCTTAAGGACTTTGAGAGTTTCATTCGTAAGCATCCGAAATTTAGCATCGACTTCATTATTGGGCTTTCGTTGTCTAAAGAACAGCTGAGGAAATGGTGCTATTGGTAGGGGCGCCCACTTGGTGTTGTTCGCACCTATTTCGCGCTTCATCTCTACCTTTTTTGCGGGGAATTGTTCAATCAATGCCGAAGTTAATAGAAAGTCGGACGTGGGAGTTACTACAAGATGTACCAGCTCATCAATTTGTTTCCACGTAGTGTGTCTTATTTCCTGCTTTTATTCTCGTAATATTCTAATGATGTCGTAAAACGCCCTACCAATTACTACTGTTAGAATAGTTTCAAACCTCCGATTCTTACAACCCAATTTTTTAGCTATTTAGTATTCCCGCGAGCTAAATCCTCTTCACTCTAAGGACAAATAGTTTCCTTAAGATCTCATATCGATCCCGAGAATTAAATTATTTCTTTCAGCGTTCTTCGAAGATGTCCAGGTGGATGAAGGTGAACATGTTTCAGATGCCGTCAAGAGCGATGGAATCCGATTTAGTGACGACGCATATCCTGTTGTGAGTCCACAGGTATGGGCATTGTCATGCAGTTTACTTATTACGATTTTTTATTTAATACTTAAAATAACCAAGCCTTATAAGAACACATTGCTTGTCTTGATCCAAATTTTCACTAATTTCACCTTTATCGCGTATAACCTCACTGTTCGTGGAATGATTCAAACGAACGGCAGTGTTGTATATATTTCTCTCTTTAGCGTTGCAGAATTTTCCAGTAGGTTCTACTTTTTCGAGGAACTCTAAGAGCGTTTCAGTTTTCTTCGAAAGTCTTGCTAATGCCTCTTGTCTATCCGTTGTGATTAAGACGAATAACATCTCAAGTCTACATGTTAACAAGTGTTTGATAATGTTAGGTGATCCGGTCGTGCGCTTCGGCTGGAATTTCGGTCCATCATCCCGATTTGTGGCATAAAATGCGTTTGATAGCTCATCTCCGTTAGCTTTTCGATGTATGCGTTAAAATGGAAAGGACCAAAGAGTGGTGAAGGTGGAACGAACACTGGATTCTTTTGGCCTGTCCACTTGAGCTGCATCGTCGGTGGTGCTTTTAGGAAATATTGCTGTGTTTGATTTCTGAATTCTGTGTTTCATATCCAGCATGTTGAGTTTAGCTTTGCATGCAACTTTGCATGGACATGGACCTGGATATAAAGTAGGTTTTGTAAAATTCTAGGAGTCGTAAGTCCCTTGTTGTGCATCTTATTCTTCGGTACATATCAAATTTTCTACGTCTAGAAGTGAATCCATTTCTTGTAATCGCACTGACAAACTAGAAACCAAGAAACGTTGGTCGATGGTCGATGTTCTACAAAATGAGCTGCGATTAACAAGTAGTAAGGAAGCGATATTTCTTAAACCGGCTCAATTTACTTCGGGCTAACAATGAAGCGGGTAGTGAAGAGATCTACTAGTTTATAGTGAATAGAGTTCAAAAAAAAACGAAAAAAGCAATGTCTTTTAGCTAAAGATAATCATAAAGTGTAACCACTCACAGCTTACGTGTTAACAGCGGAGTAGTTCAATGTGCAATATTAAGCCTCTGACACAAAGGCGACCCAAATATGGAAACTCTAGATTTTTTGAATTATCCAATAGGCACATGTATCTCATTAAATTTGGATTCTTCAGATGACGGAGAACGTTACTCTTCCTGTTGATTTGAATCCGCCTTTTCGAAGCGACTTCGATGAAGTGATGTTGATGTTCTTTTATGTTTTCATGGATATTGATTCAATTTTATTTCTTTCAAAGTTTTTTTCTCGAAAATATGTGTCGCAGACAGAGCTTGAAGATGCCATCGAGATCTCACGCGGGTTCGTTCCCGATGCCCTATCAGCAAAGGATGGGATAAAGCATGAAGTTCGACCCTCATGCGGTTATGACCATGTGTGTGTTTTATACACCGAGCACTACATATAAATACGAGAAAGGAATTCTTTTTCACATGACCCCAAATTCTGTATGATACTTGGGTCACGTATTGGTCTTTGCTTTTTAACGCAAAAGTTTTTTCTTCATGGAAATTTTGCGCAATAGTTTTAAATCTTTGTATTTTAAAGGAAAAGCGCTCAGAAGAGTGCAAAAAAGTCGTACAATTTTTGAACAACCTCAAGGAGAACCCTGAATGGGCACGCTCCATTCCCTTCGTGAAGTTAAACGCTGCTGTACCTAAAAGTGAGTTAATTTCTATCCTGTCTTTTTCGTGGTTTCCTAATTAAGGAAAACAGAAGTAATTCGTATTTTTCTAGATGTTCAGATGGATTTAGCAACTTATGCCTGTTTAAATGTTAATGTCCGTCCAAAGTATATGGTGATGTTGACAAAGAATGTAGACCACAATGATCTCGCATTCTTAATCAAGGTATCGTCTTGGATTTTATTCCTTTTTGTGATATGTTTGAATTTTTATGCATATATTTATCCACTTAAAACAATTCGTTCCAAATATAGCCAAAGCATTGAACTGTACAGAATAAGACATTTACAAGAGTTCTAAGTACTGTTCTTTAGGTGTCCACTTTTATGCTTCTCGTAACTCTGTAGTATAAATTATTTCAGAAAGCTTTTGAACCGGCCGATGACATTCCTCTAGACAGGACGCTTTTCCGCTTGTACTGCAGAAATGCTGTGTCGGGCATGAGATCACTGTTGAAGTAATGTAACTCCTACACTCTCGCATTTATATTTCACTTATATTAAGGTGTCTATTGGAAGCAGCGAGTTCATCACCCGTTCTGCAAATTGAAAATTCGAAAATTCTTGGGGAAATGACGTACAACGGATCGGTGAAAATTCAATCATAGTGTCGCATTGTCCGTTGGATATCATTGTCCTACCAGGGTCTTTTTAGAGACTACGCATGAAGACATCCGATCTGAAAGCTTTTTGTAAAGTTGAAGAGCACGGAAGGGCTCTGGGAATGCGGTTCGTCACTTCTTTTTCTTGTCGTTCTTCAACCGACCGCAGGCGCACATTAGAGATTCGCTATTACGACGAACAGAAAGCAAATGGTGAACGTGTAACGGTCAGTCCTTCTAATAGCTCACTTTTTTTGGTTTTTTAAATTTTATGTTTGTATTTATTTTTTCTAGCTTTTGGCACATGTGGCCGTTGCTTTTTGTTTTTTTTTTTTTTTTGGTCGTGTTGAACTCTTTTCCTTCCACAATGGAAGCGCTTGAGTAGTTGCGAACTTGAATTTGTACGGAAGAGATTTTCTTGTATCACGTTAGTGATGTACATAACTTTTCTGCAGTGTTCTTTTCTTGTTGAATTTGTATGAAATTTTCAAAAATGGAGAACGGAGTTTTTTCTAAATGCTCTCTGCAATGCAAAAGTCAGCATTGCACTTGACGACATCGTACTGCAATACGGACGAAATTTCTCTCTTTTTATCATTTAAGGAAGCGGTTAATCATTACTATTGTAATCATGATCATCTCTTGTAGATAAAATCAAAAAATATGGTTTATAAACTGTCCTTTCTTACAGTTCTTGTAGAAGGAAGAAAGTGAAGCTTCTATAATTCCCACGACCGACTTTCCTTTAACCTCGGCATTGATTGATAATTCGATGTTTTTCTTTAATAAGCAAACACGAGGTTGTTATTATAGGATTTATTAGGATGCAATAGCTGACGTTTCGGCGGTTTCGCCTTCTTCAGAGCCGTTTATTTGTTGTATTTAAGTTAGTTGATGGATAGCAGCCGCACAGAGTAATACATGGGCGATAAAAAAGCTTCTATAATGTCCAAGTATTTTTCATTTCAGGTTCAGTTATTGTCCAGTGACAAAGGATCAGCTGCTAGATATTTTATAGAATATAATTTTTAGTTGTAACTTGATTCTACAACTACACTCTTCCAAGTATTTCTCTTCACCTATCTTATATCTCTCCATATAGTTCGATTCCTACCTTAGCGCTGTCTTCCAATCCACGTGAGAACGCCTTAGCCGAACTATTTTCGTCATTTCAAGTAGAACTAACTCCACGAGCATTCTACGACATTCGCATAAAGAAGACGAAACGATATCCTGAAGCCGCAATGGAAATGTTTGAAGACCTTCGTGGACGATGAGTGCAAGGAAAACGAATAGAGCGCAAGAAGTGCTTGGATCCGCACTGTGTATGTGATGACGGGTCATGTAAAAAATTTTTTTAAGGCCGAGAGCATTATCGAGTGAGTATACCTCATTCGAGAGATCCTCCACTAAGGAGGATCAGACTTGATATGAAGACGGCGATACCACATCGGGAAAACGAACAATGTGGACCATGGACTCGGATAATCGGTTTTGATAAAGGCGAAGACGTCGGAACTTTAGCCGAATACGGTTTTATAAACCTCGTGTAAGCTCAAAAATTTATGCCCATCTTGATTTTTCATGCCGAGGTTAATGGGAAATCAGTCAAGAAAAAAATCTTATTTGTTATTTTCATAAAAGTAGAAATGAACTGTTTAACCTTAGTGATGCTCAGATATTTGCAAAACTCCAAACCACAGGTTTCTGCGGTGGTGATCGAACAAGCTGTTACCCTTCCCGGAGGCTAATAAATCTGGGAAATTTGGAGAAATATTTTGGTTGTAGTATTTGTAATTTGTTCCTTACAATGACCACCAACTTTCATACTACTAAGGTGTCGTTTTACCACGACCTCTCTTCTCATCATGTCTCCTATATTCTTTCATCTACTTTGTATTCGCAAAGGTAAACAACCTGATATGTTTGCATTTCTCTATCAATGAGCAAGCAGGAAGACTTCGTACTTTAGTGATAATTTTTCTATTCGATCTCTTCTTAAAGAGAAAATGTAGTAATTTCGCACTGAATATGTCATATAAGCGTCGTAGTTCCTATTTAGTATCTACATCTGGATCACGAGGCCACTAATCGCCAAGGCATAGCGTTTGGTGATGATCAGAGTGAGATTTTTTTTGATGTAGATACAGTAAGTTTGTTTAATTGCCGATAAATACGTTGCTAATAGCAATTATAATGGCACGGTCTTCAGAACGAGATGACACCTTTATCCCTAATGTATCCGCCTGTATACGACCTCATCGAGTTCATCGTGAAGCTTGCTTGTCAACGATCATCGCACCCTTAACACCAGTTGCATCGAGTGCTGGAATTGAACGCCATCGAGTAGTTTTTCTCAGATTAAAAATTAAATTCTAATGTTAGTATATACGCATCTAAGAGTGTCACCACATTGAGATACAGATGCTGTATTACTACTAAACTTCTTGTATGTTATAGAATTTGCATAATAAACGTTTTAGAATCATTTCCGATTTTCTGTTTTTCCCTTTAAAAATGATCGTAACGGTGGGTAACAATGAGTTGCTCATATGCCAAATGAGATAGTCCTAAAATAACACTGATAGATCGAAAGGTATAACACATGGGTAGAGTTCTGGAAAAGATGTTTCAGAATATATCACATTAGCGGTAGATTCAACAACTATTACATTTTAAGAACATTGAACAGAACCACTGTTGGCGTTTTTTTTTATTATTTATTATACGATATCCCGCTGGGTCTGCGTAAAGAAATCGTATATTCCCACCACGTTTTTGAATTCATGACTTAGCACTTACTCTCTAGGAAATAAAGAAAATCTGTTGCGCAGGTGTTCCTATGCCGTTGCCGCAGACAAAAGTAAGTCTTACTGAGGAGGCTTGCTCTCCTACGAATGTTTTATTGTACGGTGGCGATTCTTGGCATAAGTACACCTTAGCTGGGCTTCCAGACAGAAACGACGAAGTGTTCTTCAACGTAAAGACGCTAATTCTTTCAAAATAAAACGGAAATGCTACAAGTTGGATAAATTTTGGCAATGTTGCAGTCCTAAACTCAAGAACGCCTTTCCACCACAATGAGATCGCTATACATTCAGATATTTATTTAGATATAAATATTTAGATAACGGAAATAATGAATAGAGTTATTGATAGAGTTAATGATAAACTAGAGCTGAAGATAGTGAAAGAAAGGTCGGAATCCTCCAAGAGCTGTTCGGACGAACTACGAAATTACTACTTTCCTCGATAATTTACTAACGAACATTTGTTCTGTAACACAATCAAAACGATGCAGAGATATTCGAAAACTTGGACTAGCGGCCGGAGCGAACCACAATTACACTTTCTGGGGGCACGTGTATTTAACGTTGCACCACTGAGGCCCTTGTTTTGCGCTCCTCTCAGATAGCTTTCTACCTAACGCTGCCATCAGCAATCAACCGTTACTTGATACTTGATACTCGAACGGCTCGTCCTCACTAGTTGTGCGGACCCCAGCACAATCAGCATTTCTCGGAGACTTGCTGGTTAAGCCTTTGTGGCTCCGTAGAAACCCGAGGACAGCCTGGCCAAAGTCTGCCTCAGGTCGTCACCACGACAGGCTATCGCAGCACTTGTGGATCAGAGTGAGATTTGCCACTATGCGACTTTGATACCAGGGCGGTGGCGGATTCTGGTATTTGTTTACTCTTAGCTAGGCTTCCTCATGGAAACGCCGGACTCCTTAGCTTGTAAGGCCCTGCCGGAGAGACGAATCTACCCGCTGTACATCGCAGTCCGACACCCAGGAACACCTCCCAGCCACGATGAGGCGGTAAGCCGCTGGGAGGGGGTAGAAAACTAGCTAAGAGAAACCCAAAGCAAGAGCCGATCCAGTCAGGAGTCTAAATTTTCGAATATTTCAGCCTTGCTGTGGTTATATTTCACATCATACCCTACCGTGAAAAATTATAGGCAACAAATAGAAGGTTAACATTATTGTGAAATCAATTCTACTGTTATCGAGAGCAAGAACTGAAGCGTTTTTACTGCTTGAGTCGTAATCCAGGTTAAGCAAGCAAGAAGACCCAAGTACGTTGCCAGCCGACTATGTGAAATACAACAGTATATCCCAGGACCGACTTTTTACTAACCTCAGCACTGATTAATAATTCACTGCATTTCTTCAATGAGCAAAGACGAGAGTCGATATTATAGTATTTATTAGAATACTATAGCTGAATTTTCAGATGTTTCTCCTTCTTCAGAACCCATTATTCTCTTCCAAAAGGAATCCTCCAAATACTGAGCGCAGTAAGATCCCTTCGACTTGCACTTCTTGTGGCCAAACCGCGGAAACGTCAGCTATTGTATGCTTATAAATTCTATAATACCAACCTCGCGTTTGCTGATTGTAGAAAAACAACACACCAGCAACGGTGCTGAGGAATGAGCAGAACTCAGAAGCTCACATAGGTTTTGTATTCGTAATTATTCTAACTGTGCTCTCACGTGCTTTCCACACACGAACCAGGGCTTTTACTTTGCTTTCTATCAGCCATGTTGCTACTCTATCAGTGCTGTCAGCAACTACCCGTTAACGGGAATGATCAGAGAGAACAAATCGGCATTGAACCCAGATAAGTCCACTTGAGGTTCCCAGTTTTTCACGTATCTAGTCATCCCTGTGACTGTATTTCGTATGGTACTATACAATGAAGAGGTTTCTCTTTGAGCAGGCATTAGTTAGCCAATAAATAGATTTATTCAACACTAATCGACGTTTCGATTGTGAGAAACGTTTCCAACAGCCACCCGTTTGTGTTCAGTAGGAGGGTAGAAAGAGGAATCCTTGATTATGACGCTGCAAATAGCCATTTTCCATGGTAATGAAAGGGAAGCGGATAAGTCAAAAAAAATAACTTGGAAGAGATCGAGTCGAAAAACACTTGGTTTATCAAATTTTGCCCTTATAGTAATGCAGTTCTACTTGTACACCTTCCAGAACTAGACTTATTTTTGTCTATAATAAAATGCACGTGGAACACACACTGCGCGGTTGATATATGTTCTGTAGTCAATGAGAATATTGCAATGACATTAGATCACAAATATTTCCAGTTGGCAAAATTCGAAAGTCAAGGTCTATCATCAAATATGATTCGGTAAAAGTTGTTAGTGTTTGCTAAGACCTTCTAGTTAAGATTTTAAGGAAGTGATCGCTTTTACAGAGCTATCTCTGGAGAAGGGGCCTAAAACTAATCGAGAGAAAGTGACACAGATCATGTTTGAGAGTTTCAATACGCTCGGTATGTACATAGCTATCCAAGCTCTGCCGTCGTTACCCGCTTCCGGGCGTACTACTGGAGTAGTTCTGAACTTCGAAGAGAGAGTCACACTGTCGCTATATACGAGATAAATTCTTTCTGGATCATCTGGATAGTTGACTGGATAACTTGTTCCAGGTATACGCTGTAGCCCATGATGTCTTCCGTCTCGACCTTACGTATCTAACTGACTACATGATGATTCTTGGTGAACAAAGCTACTGGTTCAGCACCACTGCAGAGCGCGAAATTGTCCGCAAACTTAAAGAAAAGTTGTGTTGGACTGCTTTAGATTTTGAAAAGGAAATGGCCATAGTTGCCTCACCGCCCTCTATCCACACCACGTTTGAGCTTCCTGATGGCAAATTAATTTTCGTTGGACCTGAGCGTTTCCGTTGCCTTAAAACTTTCCCAGATCTGTACATTAGAATGTGCTTCTTTCATTCCTTTGAAAAAGTAGGACAATTTTTTTAGCCGTCACTACTCGGGTTGGAAGCGGCTGGAATCCATGAGGCCGCGTTTAACTCGATGATAAAGCGCATTATTGATATCCGAAAAGATCTGTGGGCCAACACTATCTTGACAGAAGGAAAGACCTTGTATGCCGGCCTTGCTCAACGTATGGACCAATAAATAACTGCTCTAATTCCTAGGTCTGTGGTTTGCTCGTAGGGATGAGTCACTCATATACCACTTTAACTTCTTAGATCCTGTGCGTTGGAAATCAGGATCGTTTCAACTCTTGAGTGTAAATATCCGGTCTGGACAGGTGGATCTGTCGTAGCATCGTTCTCAAGATTCCAGGAAATGTGGATCACAAGGGACGAGTACCATGAAAATGGACTCTCCATTATTCACCGAAAATGCTTCTGAGGAGAAAACCTTCGCTTGTCATAATACACTGAGGTGTAACAATAAATAGATTTCAGTGTATCTCGAGTACTTGATTGCTGGATGGACTAGCGAAATGTTGCTTATGCCTGATCACACAATTAACGTTCCAATTTTGGCTGCTCTTTGAGCAACAAAAACGGCCCTTTCTTTGATCGAATTGCGACGTACGACGAGAAGTGGATTCTGTACGACAACAGACGACGTTCAACTCGATTCTTTTGATTGCGATCGGACTCCAAAGCACTTCCCAAAACTACAGAAAAAAGGTTGCGGTGAGTGTTTTGTGGCCCACAGCTGAGCTGATTCATTGCAGCGTTTTGAATCCGGGCGAAACGACCACGGCAGAGAAGTTCTGTCACCAATTCGACGAAATGCACCGTAAACACTAACAGCAACGAATGGCATTAGTCAACAGAAAAGGACCAATTCTTCTCCACAGCAACGCTCGGCCTCACGCTGCGGATCCAGCGCTGCAAAAGTTAAACGATTTGGTCAACGAAACTTTGCCTCATCCGCCATATTCATCAAACCTCTCGCCTACCGGCTGTCACTTCTTCATGGACCTTGACCAGTTCCTGAGCGAGAAATGGTTCACTAGTCACGCAGTCACGCTGATACAAGAAATGCCTTCAACGATTTCATCGCTTCCAGAGCCTTGGTACTTTATGGAACTGAAACAAATAAGCGTATCCTCATTGGCAGAAATGTATAGATTTAAACGTTTTTCTATTCTGATTAAGAAAGTTTCCTTTGAAGAAAGTTACGAAATTTTAAATAATATGCTTAAAAACGCTCATTTATTTCCAAAGATTTCAATACAAAGCATTAGCCGTCGTAATAGTGAAAGACGAGGACGATGCACTGGTCAGCAACCATGCACATCTTCCCATCCCCAAAGCGGCATAAAATGACCACAGTCGGTTGGTTAAGCTCACACGTCGGCCTACCTGCTACTGCGCATCTCCGTTTCTGCCAATAGGGGTCACCGTTCACATTTGTCACAAAATTGTTCTACCGTACTTCATTGTAGGGAACCTCTTTTGTAGCTACTGACCTCCTCTGGTAACAAAGGCTATGATCACATTGTGTCTTCAATAGCTAAAAAGCATTCTGTAGTTTCGTTAAGCGCTAAGATCTATTTCACTTAAATGCCGTCTTATTTTTCACCTTCTCAATTCAATGTATATTGTAGATCACAGTGGTTAAGCTTTCCATAAATAGAAGCGCCACTAATAACTACTGCGCATGGCGTTTTTCACCATCCTAATAATAACACGTCTGTTAGAGCTACTTCTTTCCTATGTTGGTTTCCTCCTATATTAATTTCATTGCACTGACATTGTTGTATTCTATTTAACATTATTCTTCACTATTAATACGATAACCTTTTAGAGTAAGCCACTCGCTCCACCAACCACCTGATCTCATTTCGCGCTACCACTTGCTCCTAACCTTTCATGGTCAAATTGTACCTCACATGAAATCTCTTTCACACACTAAACCAATAGCTTATGATACAGCTACTTTCTGACGTACGGGTAACGTTCTATCCTTATTTATTAACCCTATTATCATCTTGCCACTTGCACTGTTTCAGCATCGCCTATTCATTATTATTGCATTATTATTGCTGCTACAAACAGTTTAATTTCCTAAGGTTAAAATTTACGCTGTGAAGGCCACGATCAGAAAACCAGCTTTGCGAAGAAGGAGTAGATAGAAGTTCGTTCAAGCAAACAGTTCAACAGCGTGTTGCAGTGCATTCAAAGCAGCAAGTCGGCCTCCATTATCCTCACGCAAAATCCAAGTCGCCGGCTCATTTGGCAACCACAGCCTACAGATGGATTGTAGTACCATAAAACTACAATTTCTTTCCAGGCCTTGCACAATACACACTGTGCCACGGAGGCCGTTGCTCTACCTTTCTTTCAGCTAATTTTGCAAGAGCCCTCGCCCGGCAAAGAAAACCGTGGTTCGATCTGGCGCGCGTCCAAGTTTTGGGAATATCACAGCGTCTTTGTGGTTGATTTCGCATAATACCCTGCTGTGAATATTATAGTAGGCGGTAAATAAGGAAGTAATCTACAATTTCTATTGCTTAGTTCTGAATTCACAGCCTTTTAAATGTCAAAGGTTAAGCACCTGTACATCAAATAGTAAACTCTCAAAGAGTAAACATCACGACACATATACACCTTCGACAGTCAAGCAAAGGCAGCAACAATAAATCGGTTGTTTCTACACTACCTGATATACAATTTAACTGATTACCCCACCACTGAACTACAACAAAGTTGTGAGTGACGAACGGTCACTACAACATTGGTACATCGATCGCAGCCACCACTTCAGTTGGAGTTTTCTCTTCGGCTAAAGCAAATAAATCTCATACAAGCTCTGCCTCTTCGCCAACGAACCTTTGCGCTAGTTGAGTGCCAGCAGGCTTGACAAAGGTGGACTCAGTTTGGGCCGCAACAACGTGTGCCAGCATATTCTCGCCAGTATCTGGAAGAAAGCAAAGTTTGCAAGATTAAAAAAGACAGTGTTGTTACACTTTGGAAAAAACATCTGCAGCCGAAACGCTACAGAATACGCAAAAACCAAAACGCTAGCATGCTCTCGTTTTGAAAAGTTTTTTTTTCAAAATAACAATAATGCTTGGCAGCTTTACAATTATACGTAAGAAATGTCCCATGAGAGCCACAAAATGGGAGACCATTGGAAGGATAGAGTCCCACTTATACTTAACTCTTTGCGCTTCAATGAATGCACACTCTGCGAAACCTAGTCACTCCTCTGGAGAAGTATTATAGATGATTTGCCATCGTATTCTAGCGAAAAGCTCTCCCAGTTGTCGACTCTCAGTGCACAGGTACAGACGTTTCAGGTTTTATTTGCTTAGGTAGTAATGATATTAAGTGTAATCCTTAGCTCCTGCATTGCTAATACATTAATGCTATCGTCGATTCTCGTGTAATTACGTTGTGTTGTTAACATAAGTTAAATACTCACAGGTACTTTACAAATAATTCTTCATTCTTATTAACTCCCGTGAACGCTCATCATAATCTTGCGCTGTCAGCCATTACATTAGTGCATATACTGTTGTCAATGCATTTTATTAGGTAAAAAACTCACTAAACCACCTCACTTGTAATTTATTGCACATACATTACAAATCTCATTGCAATGTTGTGTATATACGTATAAAGGTTCAGCTACCCAAGTTTGAGGTGCTTTACAAACAATTCCTCACTCTTATTCACTCCCGCGACGCTTTTCATATTTTTGCTTTGTGAGCCGTTACATTCTTATCGTTCCTTTAAAAGAAAGGATATGAAGCTTCTATTACGTTCAAGAATTTTTCTTTCCAAGCCCAGTTTTATTGTCCAGTGACAAAAGATTAATTGCTAGATATTTTACAGTGTGTAGTTTACAGTTGTAGTATTGATAATGTTTTACCTACAACATTCGTCGATGTCCACACTCGTAAAATTTCGTTTTTCCATCATCCGTCCTATCGCTTCTCATCATGCCTTTTACATCTCTTCATTTAGTTTCCATTCGTAACGGCAAATAACCTGATATTTTTGCATTTCTCTATCAATAGGAAGACGTTGTACCTTGTCAAAGAATTGCAGACGAGCGTTAACACAGAACTAATGACACCGTTATGATAATCATCAGTATCTCTATTCGTTGGTAAACTAATGTGGTTTTTTTTTTACAGGACGTGTCTTTTACATCTGCTGTGTGGATCCCAGCATGTCTCGCTTTCTGTCCGTTTCCTCGCATCCATCACCTGGAAAAATCCTCCAACTTATCACATGTGGTTTAGACCGTTTTTGAGGTTTTTCCTCACATGAATGTAATTGGGTGCTGGTAGCGTGGATTCTTTCTGGAGTCCAATGTTTGCCGGGCTAGTGTGCCCCTAATTCGATGGGAGAGAACGGACTTTTTTTTCCAGACAACACTGGCTCCAATTTTCCGAATCTGGAAAGAGGACAGGCTTAATGGGCCTAAGCAGAATCGAACCAGCACCATGCTGCTAATGATCGGTGTCACTGCTCGACCGGACTCACTGCGCATTATATCTTTCTTCCAGCGATTTCGTGATTTCGTGAAGAACACTGTTCATCGAGTGAGTGCTCTCCTTACTGTGCGCTTAAAAATCACTGTAATCCACTGGGCCCTTGTCCTGTATGTTGTATGTTGTTCAGCTGTGTGTGGCTGTGTATGTTGTTCATGCACATTACGTGTACAGCCCACATTATCTTCGACAGTTTAGAGTAAAGAACGGAATCTTTGATTATCGACCGCTGACGTAAGTTTAACCTTCGTATCTCCTCCCTCATATTCGTGATTCAAGATGCTCCTAGCATAGTTTTTCCAACTGCGAGATGTGCAGCGCTGAGTGATCTTCCATGCTCTTGGAATAGTGATCACGTTTCTGCTTCATACGTTAAAGTAGGAAGAGTCAAGGAGTCGAAAAGGTGGGTGCAGTGCCGAGTGCTCCTTCTTCTCTTCGCTAGGTGTATAATTTTGCCGCAATTGTATTATCTTGACTAATCTCTGCTTCGACATCGATGTTAATATCGTGTAGAATATTGATATCTTGGTTGCAAAACTTTTATATAGCTCATAAAGATTCTCTATACACCGATAGAGAGGTAGTGGCTCTCAAATGCTTCCTTGGCTGCTTTTATCCCAACTGAACCAAAATCTTTCTCTAATTTTTT